CCCCGCCCACTCTCTCTCTCTTAAAAAAAAAATGTCACGATAAACATCCTGGGGGACAGAGAGCGCTTCATCGGAATTTCTGATTTTTCCTTAAGATAAAAGTAAAGTTCCTAGATCACCTTTTCCAAAAATATTTGTAAGTCAAAAGTTAATCTGAATGTCTCTCAAGTCACAGCAGCTTTGCGATTGACACAAAGTCTCTATGACGGAGGACCCTGTAGCCTTGGGTTTCGCGGCCCAGTGGGCAACATGCCCTCAGCGCCTCCCACCATCTCAGATGTGTTTCTGCCTCAGGCCACTCCCTTTTGCCACCACGCTGGCCTCAGGGGACCCGGTGTCCTCCTTCACTGCCTTAGACCAAGCAGGAAGCCGGACTGTATGAGCTTCCCAGGGCTCCCATAACATGGTGACCTCAACCAGGGTGGCTTAAAACAACACACATGGACCCTGTCACAGTTCTGGAGGCCAGAGGTCTGAAACCAAGGTGTGGGCAGAGCCATGATCCCTCTGGAGCCTCTGGGGAAGAATTCTTCCTCACGGCTGCCAGCTCCCGGGGGCTCCTGGCACTCCTTTGTCTTCCTTGGCTTCACGAGTACAGTCTCTGCATCTGTCTTTACGTGGCTTCCTCCTCTGCATGCGTATCTGTGTCCCATCCTCTTCTTATAAGGTCCACCTTAAACCCAGGACGCTTTCGTGTCGATCCTTAGCTCAATTCCTTCTGCAAAGACCCTGTTTTCAAATAGGTCACATTCTGAGATAGGAATTGGGGGGGAGGGGGCGGGGGTCGCGATTCAAGCCACTCTACAGATGTTTCCCACTCTTGCAATAAAAACCGCTGCAAAGGGTCCGCTACTCTCGCTTCTTTGTAGAAAACATCCGTCTGGAAGGCCTGATCTCAGACCAATTAGAGAGCAGTCACTCACTGATCCAATGAGCCGAAGAAGATCTAAACCCTCATAAAAATCCTGGCTCTAGTACATCCCCCTGAGCCCCGGGGTACACCTGACTTATGCTCCTGCTATTTCTATTGATTTGTTTTAAACAAACAAAACAAAACAAAACAAAAACCCCATCATTTATTCAGGCTTTCGCACAAGGGCAGAAGAAAGTAATAATTCAAGATGCTGCTGGATCACCAAGGCTGCCTGCAAAGCCAGGAAATCTTGCAAACCCAGACTCACTTGTTCTGGATCTGGAGCAGGAAAGATAACACAAGAGAAGCATTTACTGAGAGCTACATGTGCATTTTCTCTATGGCTCTTCACATCAACCCCAGAGGCAGATGTTCTCATCACTTCCACATATAGATGAGGGAGTGGTCCCAGGTCCTTTGAGCGATGCCCTGTGGGTTGGTGGTGGTGGAATCCCCATTCAACCCAGCCCTCCTCCTGTTGCCTCCAGAGTCCTTTCTTTTCTCCCCAGAATTTAAACAAATCTCTCCCATTACCTACCAACCTACCAACCAACCAACCAACCAGCCAGCCAGCCAGCCAGCCCTCCCTCCCGTCTTCCCCTGCAGCCACCACCGTCCTCTCATCTTCACGGTCTTAGTTTTGAGAACTGTCCACCATTATGCTATTTCCATTTCCTCATCTCCAGTCCGGTCTTCAACCTATTTCAATTTGGTTTCTGTCACTCTCTTGTCACTGACCCCTCGCACCAAGGGATGTCACCACGTAGCTATGAAGGGAAGGAAAAATCCTTTTCTTTTCTTTTTCCTAAATGTTTATTTATTTTTGAGAGGCGGGGAGGGGCAGAGAGAGACACAGAATCCGAAGCAGGCTACAGGCCCTGAGCTGTCAGCACAGAGCCCAACGCTGGGCTTGGACCCATGGACTATGAGATCATGACCTGAGCCAAAGTCAGATGCTTAACTGACTGAGCCACTCAGGCACCCCATGGAAAAATCCTTTTCTTTATCCATCCTAGGTTCTTCAGTTGGGGCCCTATAAATGAGATTCGTCAAAGACAGGAGACTGAGAGAAGAACAAGCAGGAATTTATTAACACATGCATTGCACAGGTACACATGGGAACACCCAGCAATGAACAACCCAAAGAGGTCCTTAGAACACGTTACATCCTATCTGGGCTAAGAGGAAAAGGGGTTTTGGGCTTCCTGTGGGTGGGTGGAAGGCCAGGAAAAGTATGGTAAACAAGGGTTGTTTAGTAAGGTTTGTTACGCAGATTTAAGATCTGCCTTCTCCGTGGCTCAGACTCTCCCTCCTCCTGGTATGGGAGGAGGAGACACAGTTTACAAACGGAAATTTCCTTTATAAATGGTGGTCTCCTTTACGAAAGGAGAGCTTTCCCTGCACTTGCTGGTTTTCCAGGGCCTTCAGCTCAAAATAGTCCATACGCCAAAGTGGCATTTCTGGGGGTGGCGTATTCTGGCACCCCCAATTTACATCCAATCCACGCAGCCCTCACGGTAGCTCCCTGGGGTGTTATGACGCACAATGCCAACACGTCCCATTCTCTGTGATGAAGTTTTGGGGTGATGGTGGGGTGGTCCGGAGACAACGGCCAAGAAAGAATTCTTGAAGCTGTCTTTGGTGCAAAAAGGTGATTTTATTAGAGCACAGGGACAGGACCCGTGGGCAGAAAGAGCTGTGGTGGGGTTGCGGCGGGAAGTGACATATAACTCAGTATAATACCCTCAGGTTGGGAGGGGCTTAGGGATACAGTAAGTCTCTAAGGTATTTGAAAGCAAGGTTTCCAGGACCCTGAGGGGCTACCTGTTGCTAAGGAAATGCCATTTGTTACCCTTTAGTAAAACCTCAGTCATGAGACCCTTCAGATATCTATCAGGGGGCCATAAGCTTGGAGTATGGTTGCCTGCATATATCTTGGAGGAGGTTGAGATAAAGGAAGTTTCCAAAGGATTTTTTTCTATGCTGACGTAGACTTACAGGATCCTGGGGGGAGTCAGGATAATGTTAAGCCGAGATTCCCTTTTGCCCCTAGCAAAGTGTCATCAGTGAGACAGCTGAGCTTCTAGAGGGAGGGGGCTCTGCCTGTTTCAAGGACTTGTCAGTGGGTTGTAGGCAGTAAGGGGATTTAATTTCTCCTTTGCCTTTGTTTCCCACATCGCTGTGGCA